TCTGCTTTTAAGTGTTTCAGTGGGTTATCCAGGTCATTTATATAGTCTAACCTTCCCTGGACTAAGACTGGGAGGTAGGATGGAGCTAAAGTAAACATATGCAACCGCAGCCCTGGTGTGGCTGTGATTAGTGTTACTTATCCTTAATCAGTTACTCAACAAATTCCAGCTAACAAATTGTGTAATTACTGGCCTAAATAAATAGAAAGTTTAATGATTAATCGATCAAATAACTACAAGTTTGTTTAACGTGCTCCCAGAAACATTGATACTACAGTACTACTTAAATCATGCAAAGATTTAATGATTCATATTGTTTTTATATTAAATGTGTAACAATAAATTCAAGGCTTCTTCACTTTCCCAGTAAAAATCTGGTTATGTGTCTTCTTCAGTAAGTAAATGTTTTTACCAGCATTTTGGTTCTGGGAACATGGTTGATCTCAGAATTACAGAAATGAAGGAGGTCAGTGGATACGTGCAGGTCAGTGCACCTCCTCATTTACTATATGCATATATTTTGTAAGACTGTGTTCACTTCCCACTTTTTGTGGTATTAGAGAGCCTTTCCACACCCTTTGTTATTGTAGTAATGTGCAACATTAGTAAGAAATCATCATCTCCTCCTCATTCACATGACTTGTTAAACTTTCTCAACAATTAGTGAGAGTGTCTTAGTCAGGATAGTTACAACATCTGAAGCTTTTGATTTTTGATTAAAGCCTCTGAAGAAACTATAAAATCAAAGTACTCTACCTTAATTTCTAAGAACCATTAATTACTATGCTACAAAAGCTTTTTCAAGACCAGTGATGAAGCCCCACACCTAGAAAAGATTGTTGCTTTATATTCCAGAGTACAAATAAATCAGAATGCCCTGCCCCTCCCTTACTACCACCACAGAGATACTCTTGAGCAACACAGTTAATGCAGACAAACTAGTCAGACTAGTCACTGGGTGTCTTTCAGGTGTGCAGTCCTAAAAAGCAGTACTGCACATACACTTATATAAATAAAGATATTTCATGAGCAGATATATAACCAACACACTGCATCTGCAATTTTTTAAAATTTTTTTATCAGTTTTAAGACCGTAGTAGTAATAGCAGTGGTAGTAGTAGTAGTAATGGTGGTATTAACAGTGGTGGTGATAATGCTACTGATAGTGCAAAATGTATTATCAGCATCATTCACACCAACATCAGCACAGAAAGCATCAAACAACCTATTCAATCAATCAGGTAGTCCAGTTATCCCAAGATGGCTGCGGTACCATATGTGCAGTCACAAGTAGTAGTTGGTCTTCCCGTGACCATTGTTGTCATTTTGTTCTGAACAAATTATACAACGTACATTAGTAAAGGTTTTCAAATTGAATAATTTGTTCATCAAAATCCAATTTATGACTTAAGTGTTCCCTTAATTTCTTTGAGCACTGTTGACATTTTAATTAGCTTCACCTGCACTTTGTGTTTAGTGTCAATTAACAAATGTTCGCATGTTAATACTAAACATAAGGATGTTAAATTGGTACTGAGAGGATGATAGTATGTTAGTATTTAAAGCATAAGGCCAGTCATTTTCTATATAGCAGTATTTTTCACAGTAAATGTCTGTCAGTCTCCAATCTGGAATATCTTATTTGTCTGTATGACAGTCCTCTGTTGTTCAAAAATGATTAAAAACACATCAGTGAATCACACCACAGCACTGGGTGACATGTTTCTTCTCTACAAAACACCAGACTTGTATATTTGTTAAAATGTTGCCCCCAAAGCTCCAAACAACCATAGGTTTGTAAAGCTTCTGAAGTAAGCAAGAGTCACAGGCGCATGCGTGAGATCTGATAAAACATATGTGGCCTGGTGAAATTAAACCAGCGCAGGACACAACAATGTCTTTTGGGTGTTTTATTCTGAATATAAATAATTGTGGTTTTCTCCAAACAAAATATAAAAGGAACAAAACAATGAATCAAACAACAGTCAACCCTGTCTCTCTCTCATTCGGTGCGGGACGTTTACAACTGCGCCCTTGCCTTGAAGTACAACAAAAAAAATGCTCTTCCGTTGAAATAAGGAATACAGAAAATACAGAAATAACTGTGATGGCACACTGTACAAACAAACAAAGAGCATATACATTAGACATCAGAAATGTAACATTTCTCCTGCTAGCCTAAAACATAATAATGAATGCGGAGTTAAAATAAAACCTAACTGTACAGAAAGTCCGTCTGCAGTAATCGATGCACGACACACTCCGCAAATCCCACGGGTCACACGCTGGAACTAAAATAAGGAGAAGAGCATTCACTGAGCAGTTGAAAGACACAAGCTAGGTTTAAGGGGATGATCTTTGCTGTGGCCCTCCTCTACACCTTTCAGTACATATTCATACTCTGAAAAGAGTTTAAAGACACACAGATGAAGGTAGTTGTTACCTACGCAAACCTGCAGGCAAAAGAGAAGGAAAGTGTCAACAAATATATTATTACTGTGTTGTTGAATATTGAGGATTTTCTGTCCAATTACTCACCTCAATATCACAATTAATTTAGTTCATATACACCCTGAGGCTTCTTTTATTTTATTTGAGATAAATAAATAATACCACAGTATTAATTACCTTGATGAGGTACTTATCTCCATGCTCCATCTGATACTTGTATGCGACTGCTCTGAACTCCTTATATACCTTCTTTGTCTTTTCCTCAACTTTGGGTTTCACCTGTGAGTGAATGAAATAAAATGTGATGTAAATCTAGACTGAAGCACAGACCAGAGGAGGCTGTAGACTGAAACTCACCTGATCACAAATCTTCTGGATTTCCTCAATGGGAATTGTCTCCGAGTATCCTCCTACCGTGGGCTCCATTGTCACAAGGTTCGTTGAAGTTAACAGAGAAGGCAACGCTCTGCTTTTAAGTGTTTCACTGGGTTATCCAGGTCATTTATATAGTCTAACCTTCCCTGGACTAAGACTGGGAGGTAGGATGGAGCTACAGTAAATATGTAACCGCAGCCCTGGTGTGGCTGTGATTAGTGTTACTTATCCTTAATCAGTTACTCAACAAATTCCAGCTAACAAATTGTGTAATTCAGACATCTGATATTTCCTTAAGCAGGTGTGCACTTGCCAAATTAAAATAGAAAGTTTAATAATTAATCAATCAAAAACTACAAGAAAGTGTTGATTTTAATCATAAACCCACAGAGCTATGGTGCAGCTCCCCTCAGCTCTACTGAGTATTTTAGGGTATTCCTGCTGTGTTTCCTGCGTACTGTACTTGCTCTCATCAGCAGCCCACCTGTTTTCAGCTGAAAAGCTCTGCCAGTGTCACTGTACACTACCTGCTCCACAAAGTTAACAACTAGATAGTGAACAGAGTGGATCATTTAGCAGCTAAAAAGCCTGTTGTTTTCCTCAGGAGTTGGCAGAAACCAAAAACAGAGGTGAAAAAGTATATTGAGTATGAATAGTGAATATCTTATCGGACTTATATTCACCAGGTCGCCAAGACCATAACTCTAAATGAAGGCAATTGCTTCAAGTTTGTTTAATGTGCACCCAGAAACATTGATACTACAGTACCATTTAAATCATGCAAAGATTTAATGATTAAAAATAGTTTTAATGTTAAATGTATAACAATAAATTCAAGGCTTCTTCACTTTTAAAATCACAGTACTCTACCTTAATTTCTAAGAACCGTTAATGAATATACAGAAGCTTTTTAAAGACCAGTGATGAAACCCCACACCCAGAAAAGATTGTTGCTTTCCATACATGCAGTCGCAAGTAGGTTTGCTGTGTCTATCAGCACAGTCTCAAGAGCATGGTGGGAGATACCAGGAGACCCTCCTTTATACCAGGATAGGTGGGTAGGGCCCTAGCAGGGCAACAACATAGCCCTAGGACCAGTATCAGCACTGAGACAGGCCTACAGAATGACTTCCAGCAGCTACTGGTCTGTATGTTTTTGAGTCAACTGTCAGAAACAGACATCATGAGGGCCCCATGTCCTTTAGTTTGACCTATGCCTAGAGCCCAGCACCACGCAGCTAGACTGGCATTTGCTAGAAAACATCAGAATTGGCAGGTCCGCCGTTATCGACCTGTTCTCTTCAAAGATGAGAGCAGGTTCACACTGAGCACATGTGACAGGCATGAAAGAGTCTGGAGATGACAAGGTGAATGTTACGCTACATGTAACATCATTGAGCATGAGTGATTGGTGGTGGGTCAGTGATGGTCTGGGGAGGCATATCCTTGGACGGCTGCACAGACATCCATGTCATAACCAGCGGTACCCTAACTGCTGAGAGATACCAGCATCAAATGCTCAGAGTGGCTGTCAGACCTTACACTGGTGCAGTGGGCCCTGGGCTCCTCCTGGTCCAAGACAATGCCCGGCCTCATGTGGCCAGAGTGTGTAGGGAGCACCTGGATGATGAAGGCACCGATGCCATCGACTGGCCCTTATATTCCCCTGATCTAAATCCAGTTGAGCACCTATGGCACATTATGTATCGGTGCATCCGATGCCACCAAGCACCACCACAGACTGTCCAGGAGCTCACTGATGCCCTGATCCAGATCTGGGAGGACATCCCCAAGAACACTATCTGCTGACTCATCAGGAGCAGCTCAGACGTTGTCAGGAGTGTGTACAGGCACATGGGTCCACAAACACTTCTGGGTCACCTTATGAATTGCCTTGATGAAATTCACACAACTTGGATTAGTCTGCGATTAAAATTGCCACTTTGATTTTCAGTGTGATACTGAATACAGCCTCCATGAGTTGATGATTTTGGTCTTCCCGTGACCATTGTTGTCATTTTGTTCTGAACAAATTATACAACGTATATTAGTAAAGGTTTTCAAATTGAATAATTTGTTCATCAAAATCCAATTTATGACTTAAGTGTTCCCTTAATTTCTTTGAGCACTGTTGACATTTTAATCAGCTTCACCTGCACTTTGTGTTTAGTGTCAATTAACAAATGTTCGCATGTTAATACTAAACATAAGGATGTTAAATTGGTACTGAGAGGATGATAGTATGTTAGTATTGAAAGCATAAGGCCAGTCATTTTCTATATAGCAGTATTTTTCACAGTAAATGTCTGTCAGTCTCCAATCTGGAATATCTTATTTGTCTGTATGACAGTCCTCTGTTGTTCAAAAATGATTAAAAACACATCAGTGAATCACACCACAGCACTGGGTGACATGTTTCTTCTCTACAAAACACCAGACTTGTATATTTGTTAAAATGTTGCCCCCAAAGCTCCAAACAACCATAGGTTTGTAAAGCTTCTGAAGTAAGCAAGAGTCACAGGCGCATGCGTGAGATCTGATAAAACATATGTGGCCTGGTGAAATTAAACCAGCGCAGGACACAACAATGTCTTTTGGGTGTTTTATTCTGAATATAAATAATTGTGGTTTTCTCCAAACAAAATATAAAAGGAACTAAACAATGAATCAAACAACAGTCAACCCTGTCTCTCTCTCATTCGGTGCGGGACGTTTACAACTGCGCCCTTGCCTTGAAGTACAACAAAAAAAATGCTCTTCCGTTGAAATAAGGAATACAGAAAATACAGAAATAACTGTGATGGCACACTGTACAAACAAACAAAGAGCATATACATTAGACATCAGAAATGTAACATTTCTCCTGCTAGCCTAAAACATAATAATGAATGCGGAGTTAAAATAAAACCTAACTGTACAGAAAGTCCGTCTGCAGTAATCGATGCACCAGCTTCTGAAGTAAGCAAGAGTCACCGGCGCATGTGTGAGCTCTGATAAAACATAACACAGCTGTGTATTAACAACTTGATGAGATTTGATTACAAATTATTGAATTTATTCTGAGACCAAGCAAGACTCTGTTCCTAACATGGACATTTACAGAGTGTGGCTTATGTTGACATCTTCCACAGAAAAGTAGATTTGATTGTCTGAAGTCCCATGAAAACTTCCTTTATTGCCATTTAAACAGCTGTCACACTTTGATATATATAGACAGACATATTTTAGTATAGCCTGTGTTCAGTTTGTCTTTCTCAAAATGGGTTTCCCTCTCTTGTTATAACCATTTGTACAAGTCGGAGACTTGCACCATTTTAGAAATGAGACTTTTCAGAAGCAAATGAACATTTGAATCACAATAAATCTCATTTTTGATGTGTTCTTTATTATTCCTTCATAAAACAGTGCAATGACCTGTTTTATACAATTGAATTATGCACTTAATCATTCTTTGATCACATTAGAGATGAACTGCTGCCCATAAAATCATTTCACCGGAATATTATGGTGTTTGATTCTTTAAGGAATAAGGAGAAGAGCATTCACTGAGCAGTTGAAATAGCTCAGAAAGGTTCAATGGGATCTTCTTTGCTGTGGCACTCCTCTACACCTTGCAGCTCAATATCTCCTCCATCACAAGGAAGGTGTTCATAGACCCACAGATGAAGGTAGTTGTTACCTACGCAAACCTGCAGGCAAAAGAGAAGGAAAGTGTCAACAAATATATTATTACTGTGTTGTTGAATATTGAGGATCCTTCTGTCTAATTACTCACCTCAGTATCACAATTAATTTAGTTCATATACACCCTGAGGCTTCTTTTATTTTATTTGAGATAAATAAATAATACCACAGTATTAATTACCTTAATGAGGTAGTTTCTTCCTGCCACAATCTGATACCTGTATGCGACTGCTCTGAACTCCTGATATACCTTCTTTGTCTTTTCCTGGACTTGGCATTTCACCTGTGAGCAAATGAAATAAAATGTGATGTAAATCTAGACTGAAGCACAGACCAGAGGAGGCTCTAGACTGAAACTCACCTGATCACAAATCTTCCGGATTTCATCAATGGGAATTGTCTCCGAGTATGCTCCGAGCAGGTTTGACATTGTCACAAGGTTCGTTGAAGTTAACAGAGAAGGCAGTGGTCTGCTTTTAAGTGTTTCACTGGGTTATCCAGGTCATTTATATAGTCTAACCTTCCCTGGACTAAGACTGGGAGGTAGGATGGAGCTACAGTAAATATGTAACCGCAGCCCTGGTGTGGCTGTGATTAGTGTTACTTATCCTTAATCAGTTACTCAACAAATTCCAGCTAACAAATTGTGTAATTACTGGCCTAAATAAATAGAAAGTTTAATGATTAATCGATCAAATAACTACAAGTTTGTTTAACGTGCTCCCAGAAACATTGATACTACAGTACTACTTAAATCATGCAAAGATTTAATGATTCATATTGTTTTTATATTAAATGTGTAACAATAAATTCAAGGCTTCTTCACTTTCCCAGTAAAAATCTGGTTATGTGTCTTCTTCAGTAAGTAAATGTTTTTACCAGCATTTTGGTTCTGGGAACATGGTTGATCTCAGAATTACAGAAATGAAGGAGGTCAGTGGATACGTGCAGGTCAGTGCACCTCCTCATTTACTATATGCATATATTTTGTAAGACTGTGTTCACTTCCCACTTTTTGTGGTATTAGAGAGCCTTTCCACACCCTTTGTTATTGTAGTAATGTGCAACATTAGTAAGAAATCATCATCTCCTCCTCATTCACATGACTTGTTAAACTTTCTCAACAATTAGTGAGAGTGTCTTAGTCAGGATAGTTACAACATCTGAAGCTTTTGATTTTTGATGAACTCTAGTAGACCTAGGGTGATTTTTTTTAGATTAGACTGTCATGTTCAGTTCGTTTCATTTGGATGTTATACAGTATACTGTGTAACACTACACACCCCACTGCTACAGTAGATTACTACTGTGTACGTGTAACTGTGTGCTCAGTCTAAGATATATCTACATATAATACACAGCACGATTACAGAGAAGGAATCTGTACAAGCAAATGTTTTTAAAGTTTACTTGTAAGTATGGACTACAAGTAAAGAAGTACACTATATCTTTTGTACATGCAATCACGGTGACAAATCAGAAGATATGTGGACACTAAGGTCTGAAGACATGAGCTGGATTTTATCATCAGTGAAAAGAAAAGAAACATCTGGGCCTGGTACTTGCTGAAAAAAACATAAAACACAAGATTAAATAAGTAAATTCATAGCAGGTTTTTGCAATAAGAAACAATCCACTGTGCTGCTTTGCTCCATTTGAATGAGTGTACTACATGAAAGATATCCATTAATTAAAACAAAAAAGCTTCATACTTTGCACCAGTGCACATCAAGTCCTGCTCAACCATGACTGATTTAAACACTGAGCACAAATACATTTTGCGTAGCACTGTTCTCATATTGAACATACCTTTACTGGCAATTTCATTACTTCACTTCAGACACGTAGCCGGCTTGAACATAATTGGATAATTGGTCCAATCAGGTAAAACTGCCAGCATGGAGGAGCCAAATGACTAACACTGTTCAATCATTTTAACAATACAATTCTGAGAAAACAGTAGATATTGTTACAGTAAAAACCTTCAGCCAAACCACAGGGAGAACCTTCAGGTAAATGTTGTCACTTAAAAAATGTGACTCTTGGCTTTTTGTCAGCAAATCTACTGGAACTTCTTCCAGGTGCCAACTGAAACCAGTGACTGAAACTTCCTTACAACTAGATCGGGTGGAGTACTGTCATTTTAAACCATTTTATACAAAGAAAAAAATTCAAGGAGGCCACTTTAGTCAACTGTACCTTTAAAATTCATGCATGTGTAAGAGAAGTTTTGGTGAGTGAGGTTCAAGTTTCTCCTTGATCAGTAAATTTTGTTGCATTCTTATTTCTTGTATTCTTATTTCATAACTACAAATGTCTGAAGAGCTGGCCAGAGAGTAGCAGATTGTAGTGGAGCATAGTGGAGCAGGGAGAGGGGTGCTGGGCGGCACAGAGTGGGTTTATCTGGAGTGCTACCTTCAATTACATACTGTAGCTTTAAATCCAAGATATAAGAAGGACATTATTGTTTCCTCCTACGGTATATGTGACTTGTCAAAATAACACACCATGGAATAGGAGTTTAATAAAAATTAGACACAATTATAAGCAGCACAGAAATACTTCAAATAAACATCAAAGATACACTAGACTACAGAGACAAAGGTCAAATGTCTGCAAAGTTATTTAATTTATTAGTAGGAACAAAATATGCAGCGTGTGCTTAACAAAGAGGAACAGCAGTCACCACATGAAACTAACTGACTATGTGACTAACATATCAGTGGATTAACAAACATGCAACCTAATGTGGCCCAGCACAGCTGCAATGTTCAAGTCTGTGATTAATGATACAGTTTCATCATTTTAACTAAATGGTTTACAGGATTTGATCTGGCTTTATGGAAAGTTAATCAACTTGGTCAGCAGTTTAGTCTGTGTAACATCACCTGAAAGCAAATTCAAGATGCCTATTAAAACTCATCTATAAATCTATAAATCAAACACATCTAAATTCAAACAATCAAATAATATAGAAAATTCTAAAAAGGAATGAACTGAAAACTCTGAGCAGAACTCCTGACACAGTAACTGGTGAACACCAGTCACTGCTCATCACCTGGCTAACACCGTCCCTACAGTGAAGCTTCAGCAGCACCATGCTATCCGGGGGGGCTTCTCAGCAGCAGAGAAAGGAAGACTGGTCAGAATTGAGTGTAGGTTAAATGCAGCTGAACAGAGAGATCCTTAAAGAAAATCTGCTCCAGAGTGAAACAGTCTGAGACTGGGGTGATGGTTCACCTTTCAGCATGACAATGACCTGAAGCATAGAGCCAAGACAACACTGGAGTGGCTTCAGAAATAAGTCTGTAGCTGTCTTTGATTGGCCCAACCAAAGCCCAGACTTAAACCCTATAGAACATCTGTGGAGAGACCTGAAAACAACATTTCACAAATGCTTCCCTTCCAACGTGGGGGGATCTGCCAGGAAGAATGGAATGAACTGTCCACCACCAGGTGTGCAAAACTTTGTAGAAACTTCCCCAAGAAAACCTGAATCTGTAATTTTTGCCAAAACCTCTGGAGAAACTCTAAAATCATATTACTCTACCTTAATTTCTAAGAACCAGTAATTACTATGCTACAAAAGCTTTTTAAAGACCAGTGATGAAGCCCCACACCTAGAAAAGATTGTTGCTTTATATTCCAAAGTACAGATAAATCGGAATGCCCTGCCCCTCCCTTACTACCACCACAGAGATACTCGTGAGCAACACAATTAATGCAAACAAACTAGTCAGACTAGTCACTGGGTGTCTTTCAGGTGTGAAATCCTTAAAAGCAGCACTGCACATACACTTAAAGATATTTCATGAGCAGATATATATAGCCAACACATTGCATCTGTAATTTTTTTTAATCACTTTTATGGCTGTAGTGGTAACAGCAGTGGTAGTAGTAGTAATGGTGGTATTAATCAAACAAAATCAAAAAATTTGGTGTATTCATTTTTATTGTACACAATAGTTCCACTTTGACATGCTCCAATTATGATGATCCACAGTGCATATAGAGTGTGTTATTACATGGTAGCAATGGGAACTGTATATAATATGGCTTTATATATTGAGCCAGGACAATTTGATTTTAACTGATTATAATGAGACTCCAGCCTGTCGGCACTGATGAAACACTTTGTATACTTTTGTAGTCCTATTAGAAGAGCACAATAGGGTCTTGCTTGGTCTTGGATCCCTGCATAGATTTAAGCTCAAGGTGCCCTCCATTACATTGGAGTCCTTCGAAAACATGAAGGTGAACATATTCATTTCCGTTCACTTGGACCTGCAGCAAGAAAGTAAAATAAGACTGAGTTATAATAAACATTTTTCAATTGAATACATTAAACATCCATCCATCATCTATACTGCTTATAGTCATTTTTAGCTGACAGTGGGCGAGAGGTGTGGGATATCCTGAACAAATATGGGCTGACACAAAAAGGCAAACAACCACTCACACTCACATTCACATTCACACCAACAGGCAATTTAGAGTCACAATGAACAAACATAAATGTCACATTTCCATCAACGTTTCTACACTTGTTTACATTTGCTTGCTGTTTGGCTGGAGCTGTTTTAATTACATCATCTTGCTGACGTCTGGTTTTGCTATGGTTTATCGCATCCAGCTAGTTATCTCAATAGACTCAACTCCTAATATTCACCAAATCTGCATTATTCTGCATTTTTATTTGCAGATTTTCTGGACATTTGTTTAAAATTTGCACTAGATTTAAAATGGGTACTTAGCTTGAGAGTGATGACCATAAGCCATTTAAAGTTGTTAAACTTAAAATAAAAGTTACCTTAATGATGTAGTTGGTCCCGGCCACAGTCTGGGTCGCGTAGCTGTCAGCTTTAAAATGAGCATAGTTTTTCCCAGATTTTTTCTCTGCCTGGTGTTTTACCTGAGGAACAACACAGTGACAACAATATCAAAAAGAAATACTGGCCATTGGTAACTGAGGGAAGTCAGTCAACATGCAGTGACCTATTATTATTATTATTTTCTACTTACACTGTCACATATCTCCTGAATTTTTTTGTCAGCAGGCTTTGGCGCAGAAAGGCCTCCTGCCCTCGGGAACATTTTGACAAGATCCAACAGTGGAAATGAGTTTAATCAAAATAAATCAAGTGTGTTACAATGAGATGTTCAAGATGAGTCAGTGAATGATATAAGTTTGTCTTTTGGAGTGTACCATTAATATGTGTGTGTGTGTAAGTGGGTGGGATGATGGGGAGGTTGTTTATTATACAATGACCCAAACCAGCTTAAACAAATACAGCCTCTGAATTGTAAATAACAATAAAAACACATTTAATATTTCTAGTGTAACTTGTTTGAAGTATCACGAAGGGGTGTTCACCCTCTTTTCTGCAAACATTGGTTAATCCAAGGCGTGGCTCCATGGGTCAGTTGACACTGGGAAGAGACAAGCCTGGCAACTAGTGAGTAGTTGCAAGGGCGGAGCCTTGGAGGGTGTCCACACTCTGACAGGCCACCCCCTGGTGCCACCCCTGCCAGAGTAAAAATGTGATGCTTGTCAGTATCATTGAATGAAAATTGAAAACAATGACAAATTGTTGACTTACATACAAGAAAAAATTGTTGCTTTATATTCCAAAGTACAGATAAATTGTAATGCCCTGCCCCTCCCTTACTACCACCACAGAGATACTTTTGGGCAGCACAGTTAATGCAGACAAACTAGTCAGACTAGTCACTGGGTGTCTTTCAGGTGTGAAATCCTTAAAAGCAGCACTGCACATACACTTAAAGATATTTCATGAGCAGATATATATAGCCAACACATTGCATCTGTAATTTTTTTTAATCACTTTTATGGCTGTAGTGGTAACAGCAGTGGTAGTAGTAGTAATGGTGGTATTAATCAAACAAAATTTACTGGTAGTGCAAAATGTATTATCAGCGTCATTAACACCAACATCAACACACAAAACATCAGACAACCTAAAACCTGTAGTGGTCCTAATGTTCTGACTTTTGTCTTGCAATAAAAAACAACTCTTCTACAAGGGAGTCAGAATCAGAAGGCAAAAAGAAAATATGTGGTGCACCTAATTCAATGATTATGTCTTTAGGACGGCACCATTCTAGCAAAAAAGAAATAATTTAAATATCTTCTGCACAATTGTTGCCAACATTGAGCCCAATGCATATGTAGTATCTTTAGACATTTTGGAGCTCTACTAGAAAGTTCTATGGTTTGAATAATATTTGACCACACACTATAAGTTAGAAATTGGTCAGTCAGTTTGAGGTTAAAATACTAAAGCATGCAAATTATCTATGGAAGAAGACATCGATACCGATTGTGCAAGACTGTAGTAAATTTAGTCAGTAAAAGTGACCTTTATCCTGAGATCATTACACAAATCTAAAATACTTGGTATACATGGTAAACATTCAAATATTCATCCATCCATCCATCCATTTTCTAAACCGCATAGTCCCAATCAGGGTCACGGGGGGCTGGAGCCAATCCCAGCCAGCTGCGGGTGAGAGGCGAGGTACCACCTCGACAGGTCGAAATATTCAATACATAACAAACTGCTTCAGAGCAGACTTTGTAATTTTAAGATCTATAAACTTGTTGTGAGCTTATGTCAACAGCTATTACACTCAGGTGACAAAGCAATCTCAGTCATGAATAGACTTGCCTTCATTACTTTGGCCTGCAGCTATTTTACAGATCAGAAGCCACCACAAACACAAAATCAACACAGAACCCAGAACAGGGCCCTGCCCCTCCCTTACTACCACCACAGAGATACTCTTGAGCAACACAGTTAATGCAGACAAACTAGTCAGACTAGTCACTGGGTGTCTTTCAGGTGTGAAATCCTTAAAAGCAGCACTGCACATACACTTAAAGATATTTCATGAGCAATAAAAGTTACCTTAATGATGTAGTTGGTCCCGGCCACAGTCTGGGTCGCGTAGCTTTCAGCTTTAAAATGAGCATAGTTTTTCCCAGATTTTTTCTCTGCCTGGTGTTTTACCTGAGGAACAACACAGTGACAACAATATCAAAAAGAAATACTGGCCATTGGTAACTGAGGGAAGTCAGTCAACATGCAGTGACCTATTATTATTATTATTTTCTACTTACACTGTCACACATCTCCTGATTTTTTTTGTCAGCAGGCTTTGGTGCAGAAAGGCCTCCACACATATGGAGCATTTTGACAAGATCCAACAGTGGAAATGAGTTTAACCAAAATAAATCAAGTGTGTTACAATGAGATGTTCAAGATGAGTCAGTGAATGATATAAGTTTGTCTTTTGGAGTGTACCATTAATATGTGTGTGTGTGTAAGTGGGTGGGATGATGGGGAGGTTGTTTATTATACAATGACCCAGACCAACTTAAACAAATACAGCCTCTGAGTTGTAAATAACAATAAAAACATGTTTAATATTTCAAGTGTAACTTGTTTGAAGTATCACGAAGGGGTGTTCACCCTCTTTTCTGCAAACATTGGTTAGTCCAAGATGTGGCTCCATGTGTCAACTGACCATATTGTTCACCAAGCTGGGAAGAGACAAGCCTGGCCAATACTGACTGACTGTATGGGCGGAGCAGAGGCGTGACTAGTATCACCTCTGGTGGGACAGGCCACCCCCTGGTGCCACCCCTGCCAGAGTCAAAATGTGATGCTTGTCAGTGTAACACCCGACCTATGTAGCTTATCTTTTGTAGGATAAAATATATTAATAAAGGCTGCTGAAGGACTCTGGGCAGAGCCCTGGGTTTCTTCAGTAAATATGGCTGACCGTTGTACCTGTGACTAAATGCTGTATCTCTTGTAACTCTTAATCTAAATCAAAACAAATGGCAGAGCCTCTATTTAGCAGTACCTTGTAAATATAAGGATTTTAACCCAAAGGTTTTAACCAGTTATCACTTCCTTTTTAAACTTAATAGACCTTAATATACTCAAAATAAAACATACTCACTGTATAGTAAATGCAAAGTATGAATTAAATTATTAAATTCAATTAAATTTATAAAACAAAACACAATCATAAGACATTGATCCCTGGTGGGAAATTCACAAGCTATCTAGCAGTGTGTTGGCACAGGTTTGTGAACACCAAGGTCTGCAGACATAAACTGGATTTCATCATCAGTGAAAAGAAAGGTTTTTGGATCTATTGTATAAATCTACAGAAGCATTATCATAATGATTGAATCTGGGTCCGATACTTGCTGAAAAAGTATAACACACAACATGAAATAAGTAAATTCACAGCAAAATTTAGCAATAAGAAAAAACTCCACTGTTTTTTATAGTTCTTAAATGATTTGATATTAAAACCTTTTAAGGTGAAAAAAAAAAGAATAATACAAATGTATTTTAGCCTTAGCTATTAAAGTATCTACAGTAATTGGGTTGGTTTACTTTTGATATATTATATACAGTATTATTATATAAGTAACATCTGCCATGCTTTCATGATTTGTTACTTCTCTTTTCATAGTTGGTAACAATTATTTGAAGGTTTTTACAGCCAGCAGCTGCAACACTTGACACATTCTTACTTTTGATCACAATAACATTTATTTGCCAAATACACACAAAAATGGTTTTCCAATATTTCTTCCCACCAATAGAGCAACTAATTCACTGTCAATGGGACAAATATTTACGTTGTTTATTAGTAGGAACAAAATATCATGCAGCATGTGCTTAACAAAGAGGAACTGCTGTCACAAGATGAATCCGACTATGTGACTAACAAGTCATGAGATTAACAAACACTGCTAACATGCAACATGATGTGGCTCAGCACAGCTGCAGGTTTGATGTCTGTGATTAGTGACACAGTCAACAGTTTTGTCATTTTGTGCGTCCGACACACATGATAAAGCAGATTCTGATTCTAACTGCATGGTTTACAAAATTTAATCTGGCTTCAGGGAAAGTAGATGACTGCTTAAATCATATGCAGGTTAGTGAGCTTGTTCGACAATTTAGCTTGTGTAACACTACCTAAAAGCAGTTTCAGGATTATATACATATACAGTGCCTTGCGAAAGTATTCGGCCCTCTTGAACTTTGCGACCTTTTGCCACATTTCAGGCTTCAAACATAAAGATATAAAACTGTAATTTTTTGTGAAGAATCAACAACAAGTGGGACACAATCATGAAGTGGAACGAAATTTATTGGATATTTCAAACTTTTTTAACAAATAAAAAACTGAAAAATTGGGCGTGCAAAATTATTCAGCCCCCTTAAGTTAATACTTTGTAGCGCCACCTTTTGCTGCGATTACAGCTGTAAGTCACTTGGGGTATGTCTCTATCAGTTTTGCACATCAAGAGACTGAAATTTTTGCCCATTCCGCCTTGCAAAACAGCTCGAGCTCAGTGAGGTTGGATAGAGAGCGTTTGTGAACAGCAGTTTTCAGTTCTTCCCACAGATTCTCGATTGGATTCAGGTCTGGACTTTGACTTGGCCATTCTAACACCTGGATATGTGTATTTGTGAACCATTCCATTGTAGATTTTGCTTTATGTCTTGGATCATTGTCTTGTTGGAAGACAAATCTCCGTCCCAGTCTCAGGTCTTTTGCAGACACCATCAGGTTTCCTTCCAGAATGGTCCTGTATTTGGCTCCATCCATCTTCCCATCAATTTTAACCAGCTTCCCTGTCCCTGCTGAAGAAAAGCAGGCCCAAACCATGATGCTGCCACCACCATGTTTGACAGTGGGGATGGTGTGTTCAGGGTGATGAGCTGTGTTGCTTTTACGCCAAACATAACGTTTTGCATTGTTGCCAAAAAGTTCGATTTTGGTTTCATCTGACCAGAGCACCTTCTTCCACATGTTTGGTGTGTCTCCCAGGTGGCTTGTGGCAAACTTTAAACAACACTTTTTATGGATATCTTTAAGAAATGGCTTTCTTCTTGCCACTCTTCCATAAAGGCCAGATTTGTGCAGTATACGACTGATTGTTGTCCTATGGACAGAGTCTCCCACCTCAGCTGTAGATCGCTGCAGTTCATCCAGAGTGATCATGGGCCTCTTGGCTGCATCTCTGATCAGTCTTCTCCTTGTATGAGCTGAAAGTTTAGAGGGACGGCCAGGTCTTGGTAGATTTGCAGTGGTCTGATACTCCTTCCATTTCAATATTATCGCTTGCACAGTGCTCCTTGGGATGTTTAAAGCTTGGGAAATCTTTTTATATCCAAATCCGGCTTTAAACTTCTCCACAACAGTATCTCGGACCTGCCTGGTGTGTTCCTTGTTCTTCATGATGCTCTCTGCACTTTAAACGGACCTCTGAGACTATCACAGTGCAGGTGCATTTATACGGAGACTTGATTACACACAGGTGGATTCTATTTATCATCATTAGTCATTTAGGTCAACATTGGATCATTCAGAGATCCTCACTGAACTTCTGGAGAGAGTTTGCTGCACTGAAAGTAAAGGGGCTGAATAATTTTGCACGCCCAATTATTCAGTTTTTTATTTGTTAAAAAAGTTTGAAATATCCAATAAATTTCATTCCACTTCATGATTGTGTCCCACTTGTTGTTGATTCTTCACAAAAAATTACAGTTTTATATCTTTATGTTTGAAGCCTGAAATGTGGCAAAAGGTCGCAAAGTTCAAGGGGGCCGAATACTTTCGCAAGGCACTGTAAAT